TAATCAAATTAAAAAACAAAACAAACCCTCCACCCTCCACATAGGGAGCTCGGTTGGCCCAGTGGCAAGAAGCTGCACTGCATTCCTGAAGGTGTGAGGTTTGAGGCCACCAGCTGCTCCAACAGGATGGGCAGTCTCCTCTCATGTGGTTAACTGCCTCTGAAAACTGCTGAAGGATCAGCTATGAGATGGTTCCTACTCTGCGGAACACAGTGACAGCAACAACAACAACTCATTGCTATAAAGTCAACACCAGTTCACAGTTGACCTCTGAACAGGCTTCCAAGGACGTAACTCACACTTGAAGTGATTGCCCATCTCTATTTCATAGTGCCCACTGGTGGACTGAAATCACCTCCGGGTTTGCAGCCCAGCTCCCTCCCTGTGGCCTGCTGAGCGATGATGGAAGTCTCTTCTGATACCATTCCAGTGGCTGGTCACTGTCATCATGAGTTGGAATCAACCTGACAGCAGTGGGTGAAGTGGGGAATGAGGTGAACAGCTCTAGTGGAAGTTGGGGCCTTGAGAGGAGAGAGCTCGGTTCTCTACCCACTGAGTACTTCACCTGTGGCCACACTTTTACTGGCCTGAATGAGAATGAACTCCTAGTTTCTTCTGAAGGATTTGCCTGATGTAGCATGGCTATTTTCAACAGTTGTATGTCTTTCTAGGCACTCTCTTCTTTTGCTCTTTGGCTAAAGAGAGCAAACAGGGTTTCTTTTGTTTGCTTAGTTTTATCCCCCCCCCCCCAAATTGCAATTTCCAGGTTGTTGACTTCATCAGTGCAAAGTCTGGGTTACAGGAAGCAAAACGAAATTCATCATCACATTGTCCCTTAGGTCCTAAGCACCCTGGCCTATTTCCTTTTCTTCTTCATCTTCCAGGCTCTGTTTTATATACATAGAAGGTTCAGATTCATTAAATGGGAAAATATTTCTACTCCATTCTTGCTGGTGTAGGATCAGTTCAACCACGTATGAACTTTATTTTCTGTGTAAAATGTGTACAATATGTTTTTATTTGTGCAGGTACCTGGAATTGGAGAGCAGTGGCCATCGGAATGAAGTAAGACTGCATTACCGCTCAGGTAGTAACCGTCCTCACACAGAAGTGTTTCCTTACATTTTGGCTGATGACAAGTGGCATAAACTCTCCTTGGCTATCAGTGCCTCTCATTTGATTTTACACATCGACTGTAATAAGTAAGTAAAATGTTTTCTATCCCCAAAATTGACAATTTATAACTGTTCATGTTCCTTGCCTCATGTTTATTTATTTATTTATTTTTCTTTTTTTTTGCAGAATTTATGAAAGAGTGGTGGAAAAGCCTTCTCTGGATTTGCCTATGGGCACAACCTTTTGGCTGGGACAAAGAAATAATGCCCATGGATATTTTAAGGTATCTTTTGGCTAAAGTTTGAGCATAAAGTATAGGTGTAAATAATTCAATTATTTTGGGAAAATAAACTTTTCTTTGTGTGGAAACCATGACTTGCATATTTTTTCCTAAATTTTTGGAGTGGTTCAGACTAGTTCATTCAGGAACAAGACAGGGAAATAAGAACAGACTGTTGTTGTTAAGAGACATTTAGAACTCATAATGACCCTGTATACAACAGCTTTGAATCCTGCTCTATCCTGTGCTTACCTTACTGTCTCTCTAACACACCTATCCCCATTACCCCAGTCACTGAGTCAGTCCATGCCATCCAGGGTCTTCCTTTCTTGTGCTGATCCTCCACACTCCCAAGAATGATGTCCCTTTCAAGGACTGGAAACATTTAAAGGTTGGTAAAGGAGAGCATGATTTTGAATGGGGAAAATTAGAAGTTGAAGCCGTAGAATAGGAAACGTAGATGAAGCATAGTGAGCCATTTCAAGAGAGAAATTATTATGAGAGACCAGGGAGAGCCACACACATCTGAAACAGCATAGCCCGTTACCTTCTTTGAGTTGGACACCATTGTTCCTGACTTTACAGGATCCAGAGATTTGGCTGCTATGCAACATGCAAAATACCCTTATTTTCTTTAACTTTCTAGAATTACATCAACTGGTGATTACCCCCCTCCCCCTATTTCAGCTAATGTTCTTGTTCACTAACATTTTACTAATTAGGGTCCATCCCAGATTTGTTTTGACAGCCATGAATGAACTAAGAAGAACCAATTCAAAGCCCTGTGTTTTGGTTCTGTTTGTGTCTATGTACATTTGCTTTTACTTTTATATTTAATTTGGCTGATAAAATGATTTCCTGTTTTATTTCTTCATGAGTTGGTCTTTAGACATTGCAGAAGTATTAACAAGGATTTAGTCAACACAACATATCATTCTTTAGACATTAAAATCAATACAATTATTTTTAATTATTAAATTTTATTAGTTTTAATGAACATTTACAGGGATTTTGGGTTTTCATTCCTTCATTGCTGCACAGTTCTCTCTACCCTCCTCCCCAGTTTGTTCTTCTTCCCCTGCCATCCGAATGTCTATTTTAATTGTACAATTGCCACAGTGCTTGTCAAAGTCAGTTCTGATTAATCTCCTTTGTCAGTGTCCTTTGCCATTCCCTATCACTCCTTCCTGAGAGAGACTTCATCCTGATTCATAAGGAAAAGGCGATGTCGTATTCTCTTAGCTACTTCCTGCTGAAAAGGGACGCTGTGGGTTTCAGGGTGAAGATCTTCTCTCACTACTTACTCTAAAGGGCCCCTTTGGCAGTAGGAAACACATAGACTATTATGGAGATTGATTTTGGAATTTAGATGCACTGTTATTAATTGTGCTTACCTGTACATGTTCATATCCTTGAAGATGTATCATGGAGGTGTTACAACCTAGAAGACACAAATTTAACTAACAAGTTATAAGTACATGAGTCAAAAATTATGGAAAAGTAAAAGAAAAAGATTCTTTCATTGTTTTACAAACCCTCCCCCAGGTCCCCTCCACCATGGAGCCATCGCTCTAGACTCCTGTGATGACAGAAATACCTAGTCACATATCTCTTTTAAACAGTTTTCTCCCTCCTCTGTTTCAGTGCAATATACATTATCGAACCCATCTTACTCAGTCTCTCCCCAACCCCGAGGTTAGTCCCATTCTACAACAGTAGCATCATGTAATATTTGTCCTTTTGTGACTGGGATATTTCACTCAGCATAATGTTCTCCAGAGTCAACCATTTTGAATAATATTGCATGAGTTCCTTGTTTTTCAATGCAGCATAGTATTCCATTGTGTGAATATACCACAGCTTCTCTAGCCATTCGTTTGTTGATGGGCCCTAGGTTGTTTCCAAATCCTTGCTATTGTGAACAAAGCTGCAATAAACATGGGTGTGCATATATCTGCTTGGATGTCAGCTATGGTCTCTTCAGGGTATATTCCCAGTAGTGGAATTGCTGGGTCAAATGGTATCTCTATTTGCAACTTTTTGAGAAAGCACCATACTGCTTTCCAGAGGGGTTGCACCATTTTACACTCCCACCAACAGTGAATCAGGGTTCCAGTTTCTCCACAACCTCGCCAGCATTTGTTGCTTGCTGTTCTGTTAAATTTCGCTATTTTGACTGGGGTGAGATGATATCTCATAGTTGTTTTAATTTGCATCTCTCTTAGGGCTGGGAATTTTGAGCATTTCTTCATGTGCTTGTTAGCCATCTGAATGTCGTCTTTGGTGAAGTGCCTGTTCATATCCTGTGCCCATTTTTCTATTGGATTATTTACCTTTATCTTGTTGTGGTGCTCAAGTATTTCATAAATTCTGGATATAAGTCCCTTATCTGATATGTTATTACCGAATACTTTTTCCCAGTCAGTGGCTTCCCTTTTTACTCTATTGGAGAAGTTTTTGGATGTGCATAAGGATTTGAGTCTTAGAAGGTCCCATTCATCTATGTTATCTTCTCCTGGTTGTAGGTTATCCAGGATACTGGGAAGACTGTTTATGTTGTGGATTAGGATTCTAGTGTTGTTCCTAGCTTTTCTGTAATGAAGTTTATAGTCCTTGGTTTTAGTCCTAGGTCCATGATCCACCTTGAGTTGGTTTTTGTGTATGGAGTGAGGTGTGGGTCTTGCTTGAGTCTTTTGCAGATATTTTTCCAATTTTGCCAACACCATTTGTTAAAAAGGAATTTTAAATGTTAATATATTAATAAACTCTCAGTGGAAACAAAACTTTCAGTGTTACATTTACAAGAATGTTGTTAGTAATATAGTATTGATAGATATTTGATATTCATTGTCCATAGCCAGTTTGCACTCTAGATATTGGGAAAGAAATCTTGTTTTCAGGGAGACATAATGGGCAATATTTATTAGCCATTGGGAGTGAATTGATTGTTTCCCCCCTCCTATTTAAAAAGGTATTTGTGATTATGGTTGCCTGTGGTGGACAGTGTTTTGTGGAACTCCTCGATTAAAACAAACTTCAAAGCAGGAATGGCATCCACTTTTGAAACAGCTTGTCTCCAGAAACTCTATGAACTTCGGTAAATGATGAAAATTATACAAGTGTTCAGGTCTTTCATTCATAGGGTCACTATGAGTCATCTACGACTCGACAACACTTAACAACAACAACAACATATATATACACAAAAATACATTAAAAGTAGGAAGCAGACATTTCTTTTTTACTCATTGTCTGTTTAGAGACAACATTAAATAGAATTTCTTCATTATAGAAGACCTAAAAAATACAATTAACTGTATAATTTAAAGATTAATCTGTAATTTAATAAATAAATTAAAGTAACTGCAAGTACATGTTGTTGTTGTTGTTGTTAAGTGCCATCGAGTCGCAGGCGACTCATAGCGACCCTATGAAGGAGAGTCCTCAACTCTTGGGGGTGTTTCATCCTCTCTCCAGGTTCAGAGGGTTTCCAGAGGCAAGCTATTGCGGAAGTGGATGCCACTCCTCCTTCCAAGCTTGTTTTAATCGGGGAGCTCCACCCCACTCTCTGTCCGCATGGGTAACCAACCATTAATGCATTTGACGCATCAGTGTCACAGTGTTCAGCCTCACAGCAACAAGTGACCACTGTATGGCGCCTTGTACACCAGGGCTATACGACCTAGAGGAATGTCTGAACAAAAACCATGAAAGACAGGCCCGAGGGCCGCGGATTAAAAGTCACCCACCTTTGGCTTGGTAGCATCGCTTTCTATCTACTGGGCCAGCACATCTTTCTCTTTATGTTGATGTAATTGTTGTTAAGTGCCATTGGGTCGCAGGCAACTCATAGGTTATTTTTCCATTCTTCCTTCCTAGTAACTGCATCCAGAAGCATATCTGTTGTTGTTGGGTGCTGTTGAGTCAGAACCAACTCATAGCTGACCCATTAGCATGTTTTCCAAACCAGTAAGTTGCACAGGGAGAGAGTATGCATCATTTTCCTGCAAAGCAGCTAGTGGATTCGAACTACCTTTGGGATTGGAGCACATCTTCTTACCTCTAGGCCACCAGAGATTCCCCCGGAGGCATATCTAGTGTGTGGAAATTATGGCACCTGCCTTGGGCACCACATGAGGAAGGTACCATTGAGCGATCTCTCTTGGCTATTATGGGTACTGTTTTCTATAGATATGCCTCTGTCTGTGACAGTTCCTGAAATACAGAAATAACTTAATGGATAGTTGCTATGTAAATTGTAGGTAATTTGTACAACTCTTAGAATCCTTGGTAGACTAGATACTAGTAAATTTATAATTGTAATACAGACAAATTTATAATCCTGGATATTTTTTCATTTATTTTAAGTTATGTATCAAGTGTTTTGAATAGATGACTTATTTTATCATAGTACTGGTAAGTTTGTTAAAGAATTTTTTATTGTTCTTTTATGTATATGTAAACTTACTTAGAGAGTTGAGTAGCTTTCCCAAAGCTAGATAGCTTGTAAATGGCAAAGATAGGGAATTGATTCCATATTTTGAAAATTCTCAAAAATGAATAATACTCTTTTTAGAGATAATGGATGGCAAATGTGCTATGTATGTTAAGTCTATTTTCTTGAGAAGACAAAGATATTAACCACGTGGTCTTTCAAACGACCTCGGATTCATCCTCACAAAAATTGTATTTATAATTCCACAGGCCTTAATTATATTTTGAATGGTGAATGGTACACAAGTGAATTATACAGTGTAAAAACTTTACAGTTTTCATAGGAGCCCTGTTTCCATGTTGTTTCTTCCAAGTTATAAGAGTTTGTAAAAAAAAAATAACCTTCTTAATTTACAATGAAGCAAAAAACAAATCCAGAAATTGTAACTCATTATGCTATGATATCATGCATGATCAGGTAGAGGGTTAGTGAGAGAGGATAGACCCTCATTGAGATGGATTGGCACAGTGATTGCAACAATGGCTCAAGTATGTCAGAGATGACGAAGATGGCATAGGGTAGAACAGGAATCATTGGGTTGCTAGGAATCATACTCAAGATGATAGCACCTAACAACAATATCAACAAACACTGAAATATATTAATTCCCTAAAAAAAGTTTACATTGGTACATTTTTTTGTGTGTGTGTTATTTACTTGGAGTATATGTAGGACAATATTGACTGGTAAAACTTTATAACAACAACAAAGAGTAATATATATATTATATATAATACTAATACATATAATTTATATATATTAATTAATATACAATTAATTAATTAATAAACAAGATACATTGTTGTGTACCATCAAGTTGGAACTGACCCAAAGCTGGCCCTCCAGCTGGTTTTCAAAGGCAATCTCACAGAAGGACATTGCCCATCCTTCTACAGTGGAGCAGCTGGTAGCCTTGAACTGTGTGGTTTCATTGCAGTGCCACTTTTTACCACTAGATCCCAGAACTCCCCAAGATATAAATACACTGAATTATCATTCACACTGACAGATTTTGGTGTCAAATAACCAGAATATGTGTAGACAAGTATTAACTGATAACTGATAAATATTTATAAGTAAATTTAGAATTCCCTTCACAGTATAGTGATACTATCATCTATGTCTTTAAACATTGTTAACATTACTTAGAAAGATAAAGCATAATGCCAATTAAAGAAAATACATGGATCTTTATGAAATTGTATTTTAAGTTGATGAAGGAAGCGAAAGAGCTAGTCGATGAAAGGGACAGCAGGAATGGGCTTGATGAGATCGGTCTGTGCTACCTTTGTCCTTTGCTTTAAGCTCAGCAAAAAGGAGGCTAATTGTATGGTAATGACTAGGGATGCATGTAAATTTTGTCTGTAAGCATGTGATGTGGCCTTCTGTGTAAAATGGGTCATTTGCAGTTGGCATTTTAAAAAATGCCCTGTTAAAGTTTTATACTCCTAAGGACTCTGTGCTACATCTTACTGAAGCTGTTCAATAAATCCTCTATTTTGCACTGAGAAATGAGTTGTAAAATATCCCACTGAAAAAAAAAGGCAAATGCCCCAGTGCTCATTGCTTTCATGACTCAGTTTTTACATCCTTTTCTTTACTAATGATTGCAGGTAATTTAAAATTAATGTCAGTTTCAGAGCTGCTGAAACCAGAGCTCATTTTCAGGCTGATTTTTTTTAAAGGTCATTTTCAAGCCTGCAATGGCTAACTAAAAATAACATCTCAAAACAACTTGACTGTTCCCTCTTAATTATATCTTGGCACTTAATCTTAAGGCTTTAAAAATATTATCAATGAGAGAGTACATGGGTAATCATCTATTTTGTCTGATCTATTTCTTTCCCATTGGTTTGAAGAGACTATATTAAAAATGCCTCTTTTCTGAGGGATTTTAGTGAGTTTATGTGATAGTGTGTTTTTCATGAACTTGACTGTTGACCATAATTTGGGTAGATGAAAGTAATGTGTCTTTTTAAATTTTTCACACACAGGGTATAATGCAAGATGTGCAATTACTTGTCATGCCCCAAGGATTTATTGCTCAATGCCCAGATCTTAATCGCAGTAAGTCTATTAGTTCTTGCACTGTGTGATGAAAAGTGTGCTTCTTGTTCAATTTTGTCCACAATGTCAGTTTGAAATTGGAGCTCCCATATATTAGTTGTCAGCATGGACTTAAACAGATTGAACCCCTTATAAATACAACTTGACCAACATAGTATTTGTAATTCCAGCCTGTCCAACTTGTAATGACTTCCATGGCCTCGTGCAGAAAATCATGGAGCTGCAAGACATTTTAGCCAAAACATCAGCCAAGGTAAAAGTTACTCAGAAATACTGTGGGCGAGCACAAACATCCTGGAGGTTTCTCACAGTGCTTTTTATAACCACAGATGGTTCCCTTTGAGATTTTCCTCATACTATACTTTTTTTCCCCTTTTTTCTGAGGACTGTATGCTTTAGACGTTGCTGAATCTAAATTCCTCATCAAGGAAAGGGCTTATAAATACACAAGCCCTCTTTGTAACCATTCCATAAATCAGGAATTAGCCAGATTAGGTGGTTCATAACCTGCTCACTATAAGAAGGACTTACCTAGTTCTTATTAAACTTCTTTTTACTCTTTTTATGTATTTTTATGATCAGAAACAGAGGTGAGGAGGTAATTGTCAGGAAATTAGATCCCAGAATTGTACTTAGGAAATTTCCCACGTGATACTTCCTACTACAATGTTATAGATCTAAGATTATTCACTAAAATTTGAGATATTTTTAACGTTTATGAATAATTTTATCAGACTTGTAATTTTGTACTGTAATTTTTGGCAACCCAAATATTTTATTGTCTGTGTGATGGCTGATATAAATGTCAATTTTTTTAACTTATTAAGTAAATTATTCATATTTTTACCAAGTGAAATAGTTATTAAACATTTTGAAAAATTACCTAATGCTTTTCTGTGGTGTTATTTTAAATTAATTTTCAATTTATGGGTTATAAATTGTACTTTGTTTCAAAGATAGGAAACAAATTTGCACAAAACTGAGAGAGAACCCCTTATTTTCACCTAAAGTATACTTCTAACAACCAACCATCATTGCTGTGGATGCTTAAATAAGAGAGGCAGATGCCAACTGAAGTGTTTTGCATTTCTGCTTTCCTGAATGGTGAACAATGTCAACCACTTCTTTTGTTCCACAGCTGTCCCGAGCTGAACAACGAATGAATAGACTGGACCAGTGTTACTGTGAAAGGACATGCACTATGAAAGGAACCACCTACCGAGAATTTGAGTCCTGGACCGATGGCTGTAAGAACTGCACATGCTTGGTATGGCTTCCTTTTGAGTCTGGCCAAGGGAACTGGGATACCTCACACTTTTAGAATTTTATTAGAATAATGTAATTGTGAAAATTTTAAGGCCCACTTCCTCAAGACACAGAACTGAAGTGCCAGTAAACCTGGCCAAATTTAAAGAATTGTGTTGCATTATTAAAATAATTTTCTAACTTATAAATATAATTGTGGTTTAAGAATGCTATAAAATTTAAGGTTTTTAGTACACACATAAAATTGGCAAATTAAATTAGAATAGTAAGGTGATTCCCCAAAGTATTCAATCCTCACTTCAGGGGCTTACAATTCATGTTTTTATGAGTTCATTTAAAAACACTAAACCCTGGTGGTCTACCTTGTAGGGAATTCTCCTACTAACCCCAAAATAGAGTCTCTGGTAGTTTGAATCCACCAACAGATCCACTGGAGAAAGATGAGTCTTCTCCAGTGCTGCTAACAGACTGTGGAATCTCTAGAGAGTAAGATTGGTAGCAGTTTAGACTTGACAGCAGTGAGTTTTTGAAAGTAATTTATATGCAGCATTAAATGTTGTGGATTGGGCATATAAAGAAATACTATTTTTTTTAATAAAACAGTTTTTCTTTTTGTATTAGTACAGTAGCACACACATTATAGAGTTTGGATAAAGAAGATTTCTCTAATTGTTTTCTAATAAGATAGGATATATTATAGCCTTATTTAAAAATACATGTTCTTTTTCAAAGAAGTTCAAGCTTCAGTTGTTGTTGAAGTTTTAAATTCCTCATTAATTCATCTGTAAAAATTATTTTGACTGGAAAAATGTTGAAATTCTATGTGAATGAGCCTTTAACAAAAAGAAAAGTTCCATACTCACTGAGTTTATCCAAGAGTAGTAATGCCATACATATAAAAAGACAGCTCAGAAATGTTCATGTATATACATATTGATTGTATGATTTTTCATCAGGAACTACTCTGTCCTTACCAAGTTTTAACACTTGAAAACACAGTAAAGCGTATTAAAATTGAATTGAGAAAAATACAAGGTTATGTAGAAAAGAAAGAGGAATAAAATGATTAGGAAAGCCTGTGAACATATTACAACGTTCAGAAGTCAAATTCTTGTGATTGTTGAGATTGGGTTGTAGTGGTTATCTTCACTGTGTCATTGTGGTGGTCTTTCCCTTCTTAAGTGTCCACTAGGTAAATACTATACTATGTGACTGGGCCTTGCAAGATGGCAGCAGCTGTTCCAGGAGTCTCCTGGTTTGGTTTTTGCTTTGGAGGGTTTTTTTTCCTCTACTTGCATATTTTTGCTTTTTTAAATTTTTTTTTATTGATTAGCTTACAAGGTTTGTATACATTGTGTTTCACACTATTATTCATGCACATTGTTCATAATAAACATTCTCAGGAATTATTTTTTATAATATTAATCACCACTGGACCTTGCTCATCATTACGCTGTCTTTTCAACCAGATCCTTCCCATATCTTCCTTCCCATCCCTCCACCCACCAAATTGTGTAACCCTATAGTTTCAGTCCTACTCATCCTCACCTCTACCCACTTTGAGTTACCATACATGTTTACTAATTACCCTTCTATTTTTAAATTAATGGTTTTATGCAGTATTTGTCCTATGAGATTGCATTTGATCATTCAGCATAATGTTCTTCAGCCTCTCCCAAGTTACGTAGTATTTTTCAAAGTCATTGTTCCTAAGTGCTGCATAGAATTCCATTGTGTGAATGTACCTTAATTCCTCAGTCCATTCAATTGTGGTTGGACATTTGGGCTGTTTTCATGTTCTTGATATAACATTGCTATGAACATTGGTGTACAAATCTCCGTTAGTGTGTCAGTTCTAATGTTCTTGGAGTTATTCCTAGTACTTAAATAGTTTAGTTGGGTCATACGAAGTTTCTATGTCCAGCGTTTTTGAGGAAATGCCAAACTGTCTTCAAGAGTGGTTGTGCCATTTTACAGTCCCACCAACATTGTATGAGAGTCCTCACCTCTCCACATCCTCTACAACATTTATTGCTTGCTGCCCTACTAAGCTGAGCTACTGCTACTGTGGTGAGATGGTTTCTCATTGTGATTTTGATTTTCATCTTTCTTATTGCCAATGATTTTGACCATTTATTCATGTTTTTATTGGCCTCATGAATATCTTCATTGTGAAGAGTGTATTTTGCCCATTTGTAATTGGGTTATCAGTCTTTTTCTTATGAAGGCCCGGGAGTATTCTGTAAACTTTTGTTCTGAGACTCTTATCTCAGATAGTATTACCAAATATTCTCCCCCAGTCAATGGGCTTTCTTTTTATCCTGTTGGGAAAAGTTGTGGTTTGTTTTTTTTTTTGTTGTTGTTGTTGTTGTTTTAATTTTCTCTGGGTCCTGGTTGACTCGCCAGAGGCCTTTTGATGGGAACCAAGGGGAACTTGAAGCATGAGTGGACCTGTGGCCATGTTTTAATTCATGCCTGCACCCTCTGGTGTGATTGTTATTATTTTTTAAATAAACACTCCTAAGTGTTACAGCACTCTTCTGTTAGTTCTCTGTATTGAGGTAACTATGGATTGCTATGATACTGAACGTTGCATCATTGGTCTGTCAAGGGCCATAATGGCAATATTTAGTTAGCTAACAGATTAAGACAAGCTTGGAAGCAGGAGCGGCATCCACTTTAAATATGCATGTAGAAACTCTATAAACTTAGAGAAAGGACAATAGTTATAGAACAAAGTTAAAGTCTTTTGTTTATGGGCTTAGTAATAGATGACACTTAACAACAACAAGATATATTGCAAAGCCCTTGTTTTCCATTTTGGATTTCCATTTGGTTGATGCTGTATGATGGCACTCTTGTTTTGGTTGAGGAGCTATGTAGATTGTTTTCTTTATTTAAGCCTAGAGTTTAGGGTCAATAGGACCTCCAGGAGGACACTTGGATTTAAGGCTAAGGCCTTGTTTCCATTTTGGAAAGTGGGTTCTCTTGTTTTGGTGGAGGGTCATTGTGGAATATTTGGTTGCTTTTTTTCCCCAATGTGTCAAAAGTGATAATGGTTACTTATGATAGACAGTGTTTGATAGAGCTCCCCAATTAAAATAAGCTTGGAAGCAGGAGTGGCATTCACTTCTGGAGTAGCTTGCCTCTGGAAACCCTATGAACTTGGAGAAAAGATAGAAGTTATACAAGTGTTCAGGTCTTTTGTTCATAGAGTCGCTAAGAGTCGCCTACGACTTGATGGCACTTAACAATAATAACAACAACACTAGTTTATTTTCAAAATTCAAATGCATCGTTTCCACAAATTTTTTAATTTTTTCCTCACACCTCCACCCATCAAATTATACAACCCCATCCCCATGGACGTCCTCATTTAGGAAAATTTTTTGATGAGCACAGAGATTTAATCTTTAGAGAGTCTCATTTATTAATTTTATCCTCTCCAGATTGTGCATTTCTGGGTGTATCAGGCAATCTCTTTATACCATAGGCTAGGCTTTCTAAACTTGGTCCTATTTTGTCTCTTATAAAGTTTATGGTTTTGGGCTTTCCTCCCAGGTCTCTGAGGCACTTTGGGTTAACTATTGGGTAGGGTGTGAGACGTAGATCTTATTTCAGCTTTCTGTAGGTAACAGTCCAGTTTTGCAAGCATCATCTGTTCAAGAGGTTGCTATTTCCAAATTTGATAGGTTTTACTTCCTTGTCAACTATTAGTAGACCATAGATAGAGAGACTAATTTCTGGATTCTTGGTTATATTCCATTGGTCTGTGTGCCTGTCACTGTACCAGTACCATGCTGTTTGGGTTACTTGAACTATATAGTAGATTCTGAGGCCAGGAAGTGCTATACCTCCCACTTCATTTTTGTTTTTTAGAAGTGCTTTGCTAATTCATGTTCTCTTTCTTAATAAACTTGACAATTTCCCTTTCAATCTCTTTGAAAAGTGAAGTTGGTTTTGGTATTTGGATTGCATTGAACATGTAGATTGCTTTTGGTAGGATTGTCATTTTCACAACAATGAGACTTCCATGAACAAGGCACATTCTCCTGTTGGGGTGGTTTTCTTGTTTGTTTGTTTGTTTGGAGGGGTATTTTTAGGTCTTTTAGTGTGTCTCATAGAAATGTCGTGTAGTTTTCCTTGTACAGGTCTTTTGGGTCTCTAGTTAGGTTCACTCCCAAATATCTCAAATTGTGGTTGGCTGTTGTAATAGTATTACTTTCTTATTTTTCTTATCTATGTTTTCTTTGTTAGTATAGAGGAATCCCACGATTTTTTTGTTATTAATCTTGTATCCTTCAACCCCACAAATTTGTTCCACTAGCTCTAACAGCTATCAACATCTATCAGAGTTCATAAAGTTTCCGGAGGCATGTTATTTACTTGGGTATATGGGGTTTACTGTCTACACTACCATATCATCTTTATATAGAGGCAATTTAGCCATCTCTTTTCTGTTCTGGATGACTTTTATTTCCTTTTCTTTTTCTATTGCACTAAGAGGTACTTCTAATATAACATTGAATAGAAGTGGTGACAGTGAGCATCCTTGTCTGTTCCCTGTTCACAAGGAAAATGCTCTTAGTCTTTCTCCATTGAGAATGAAACTGTATTTTTTTGCACATATACTTTTCACTATTTTGAGGAAATTACCTTCTATTTCAGTTTGTTGATTGTCTTAATCAGAAAACAGTGATAGATTTTATCAGACATCTTTTCATCATCATTGGCTAAGATTATATGGTCCTTGTTATTTGCTTTGTAAATGTGGTCTATTACGTTATTTTTCTTATGTTGAACTGTCCTTGCATATTTGTTATGAGTCCTTCTTTGTCATGATGAATTGATTTTTTCATATGCGGTTGGATTCTATTGACTAGGATTTTGTTAAGGATCTTTGTGCCTTTGTTCATGAAAGATGCTGGTCTGTAGTCTTCTTTTTTGGTGTATCTTTGCCTGGTTTTGGTATTAAGGTTATGCATGCTTCATGGAATGTCTCTGAGAATTTTCCTTCCTTTTATATTTTTTGAAATAATTTAAGTAGAATTGGTAATAAATCTTCTCTAAATGTTTGGTAGAATTCAGTTGTGAAGCCATCTGGTCCAGCATTTTTTTGGGGGGTAGGGGAGTCTTTTTATGTCCTGTTCACCTTCTTCATTTGGAATGGGTCTGTTCGAGTGTCCTACATCTGTCCATGTCAATCTGAGTAGGGAGTGAGTTTCAAGTAATTTGTCTATTGAAGTTTTCAAACATATCAGATTATAGCTTTTCATAATGTTCCAATATTACAGATTAAATCTCCTCTGGTTCTGTTGTGATGTCACCTCTCTCATTTCTTAATCAAGTTATCTGTGTCGTCTCATTTTTTTTCTTCTTTTGTTAAGTTTGGCAGTGCTTTATCAATGTTATTGACCCTTTCAAAAATCCAGCTCTTGGTTTTGTTGTTGGTTTCAGTTGTTTTTCTATTTTCTATCTCATTCATTTCAGCTGTTGCTTTTATAATTGCCTTTCTTCTAGAGGCTGTGGGGTTAGATTGTTGTTATTCTTCTATTTGATGAAAGTGTTGCATTAGACCACTTACTTTGCTTCTTCATTTTTTGTGTGTTTGCCTACTGTTATTAACTGGTCCCTGAAGATAGTCTTATCTGCACCCCAGAGGTTTTGGTATCATATGTTTCAAGGAACTTTTTGACATCATTCTTCATTTCTCCTATAACCCAATTGTATTCTGTCAGGGTGTTGTTTAGCTTCCACACTGGTATTTTTAAAGCTTTATGCTCTTGTGATTAATTTTTAGTTTTATGGCATTGTAATCTGAGAAGATACTTTGTATTATATCAGTGTTCCTTAATTTTTTGAGACTTGCATTGTGCCCTAATATGTGATCAGTTATGGGGAACGTACCATGTGCACTTAAGAAGAAAGTGAATTTTTAGTTGGGTAGTACTCAGAATACATCCACAAGTTAGTGTTGGCTGAATGTGTTTAGATCTTCTGTATCTTTGTCAAGGTTCTTCCCTTCCTCCCCCCTTTTTTAAAAAAATATTATACTGGTTTATTTACAAAGTTCAAATACATTGTTTTTTCACATCAGAAATGGTGTGAAAGCCCATTACCTTCACCCTACATCAAATTGTGTGACCCTATGATTAACCCTCCTCCCATACATTCTCACCTCTCTGATTCCACCTACTCATTCTAAAATAATGGTTTTTATATAGAATTTGTCCTTATAAGACTGAGATAGTTCACTCAGCATAAAGCTCTCCAGTCCCTCCCAAGTTAGGAAGTAATTTACAAAATCATTGCTCCTGTGTGCTGCGTAGTATTCCATTGTACGAATGTACCATGATTCCTCAGTCCATGCAATTATGGTTGGACATCTGGGCTCTTTACATGTTCTTGTGATGGTGAATACTACTGCTATGAGCATTGGTGTACAAGTCTCTACTTGTGCCTCAGTTCTCAATTTGTCAGAGTATATTCCAAGCAATAGACAAGATGGGTCATATGGAATTTTTATATTCAATTTTTTTTAAATTTAGTTTGTTTATTTTTCATTTCAATGAACATCTACAGAGATTTTGGAATTCCATTCATTCATTGTTGCACCCTTCTCCCCGCACAAACCCCTCCCCCCCCCCCCAGGTTGCTCCTCTCCCTGAAAAGCAAAAGAAAAACTGCCTCATTGGTACACAATCCCCCCCGCACCTCCCCCAACCCCCCCCCCTACCCCCAAATATAATCCACTCTGCAACCCTCATTGCATACTCCTACGATAAAAATAATGCCCTAAAATATAATACTTTTAGACTATTCTCTCCCCCATAGACTTCTTTTGAGGAAGCACCAAACTGTATTCCAGAGTGGTTGAACCATTTTACAATCCCACCAACAATGTATAAGAGTTCATATCTAGCCAGATCCTCTCCAACATTTATTATTTGCCACTGCTACTGGGGTGAGATGGTATCTAATTGTGGTTTTGATTTACATCTCTCTTACTGTCAGTGATTTTGAGGATTTCTTCATGTGTCTGTTGGCCATTCAAATATTTTCTTCTGTGATAATTCTTTTCGTTATTTTGCCATTTGGTAAACTGATATTTGACAAGGATATAAAACCTATTAAATGGGGAAATGACAACCTCTTCCACAAATGTTGCTGGCACAACTGGACTGCTATATGCAGAAAACTGAAACAGGATCCACATCTACACCATACACAAAATCAACTCAAGGTGCATCAGAGACCTGAGAGTAAAACCAAAAATCATAAAGTTCATCAGAGACAAACTTGAATTAAGCTTAGAAGGCCTAGTAAATGGTATGAAGAGACCGTCATATACAGCCAGAAATGTACATTCTGGAGAGGATAAAATTGATGAATGGGACTTTCTAAAGGTTGAATGTTACATTTCTTTTGAGTTGATCTCTCCGTTGGTGAAAGTGGTATGTTAAAGTCTCTTACCACTATTGTGGTAATTCTGTTAACTCTATTTTATGTAATTAATAGGTCATTGGAACACAGATGCTGGTACATATCATTGATACATAGATGTTGATCAATGTTCTGTCTCTTTATCTACATAAAAATATAATGCCCTTCATTATCTTTTATGTTGGTTTTTATTCTGAAGCCTATTTTATCAAAGATTAATATTGCCACTCTTACTATATTCTGGATGCCATTTTCTTGGTATATTTTTTTCCCCCAGCTTTTTTAGAGTTTGTAATTCTCTTCATTTCTTAGATGTGTCTCGTTTACACAATATATTGCTGGACTTTGCTCTTTTTTTTTTTAATCCATTCTGCTATTTCTTTTCTCTTGATCGGCACATTTATTCCATTCACATTAAGTGTGATCATTGACAGGCTGTCTCCTGTACGTGATTAGAACTCTAACCCAGGAACAGTGGTGGTATAGGAGATGGTAAAATATCACCAACTATGTTAAAATCCAATTTGTTTTAGCATTGTCAGTGTATCATAGGGTTTTACTAGATAGAGAATAATGATATTTATGACATTTTTTTCATGAAGAATTTTATATTTAAGAGGCTAATAAAGACTTGAAGACTACCAAACTACAACTTAGAAATTCTTTAAATATTGTTCTCTTCTTAGAATGGAACCATCCAGTGTGACACACTAGTCTGTCCGAATCCTGACTGCCCACTGAAGTCTGCACTTGCATATGTGGATGGCAAATGCTGCAAGGAATGCAAAGGTGAGCATAATTTTTGCGATCAGTACTATATTTTTTTACAGTTTTTGTGAAGCTTTGTAATCTTAAGTATTCATTAATCATTGACCAAATTTCACCAGTGGCAAGTGAAAAAGCTTTAAAAAAATGGTGTAAGTAGGAAGAATATTGTCTCTATTTCGGTTGACCTATTCTATTTTAAAAGTAAAGGCTTTACTTGACTTCGGGCAGGAATATTTTTACTCAAAAGAATTTCTTCTCTTTAGTGACATTAATAGAGGAGATGTGTAAGAAACTTGAAAGCATTTCACTAATTATAATTTCTTGATTTACTAATTATAATTCCTTGATATGGATACTTGCCAAATAGGGTATTAATGGTTACATTCTTAGCCACAATAACCAAGATATATCATGACAAAAAATGATCTTCAACAGCAGATGATATGCTGCCCTATTAGGTAGACCACAGGTTTCTATGCTCTTACATTCTCCATTGTGGCCTAGAGGCATTGCTTCGATTGGAGTGGTGGGGAGAAACTTTTACTGGGTAGGACATTTTACTGCCTTTTAGTATTCATTGTAACTTTGAATCATCTGTAGCTATCCTCAAATGGGTTTTATATAATTGAATCATCTGTAGCTATCCCAAAATGGGTTTTATAGAATTCATTCAGTAACAGGAAAGTGTTTTATCTCTGTTACTTATGCTTTAAAACAGTGCACTTAAATTATTGTGGCAATAATAGCAGCACTTATGAGAAGTGAATTGTTATAAACTTTGTCTATATAAAGAGTAAGGGACTTGGATTATGGGTATGTAAGTATGTTAATATGTATACACATATACACACAGAGCAGATGAAAAGCTGCCTTTGTTAAGACTTTTTTTTTAGTGTTTACTCTACACTTTTATCATTGTCATATCCTTCTTGTGTCTACACAGTATGTAGTGTGCCACTGCTGGTAAGAGTGACAAGTTACCAGAGTAGAATCAGGAAGTCGCTTTGTAATCCATTGATTTAATTCCCTCAAGAGCTCATTTATATTTAATTTTATTAGGCTTTACATTGAACTCAATCTGTTTCATGAAAGTGTATTAGCCTAGTCAAATACATTTGGCAGAACCAGGGAGGATTGAATACAATTGCTCCTAAGACATGTCACCAGCTAATTTCCTTGATGAGACGTAAGCTGAGTTTTTCCTTGGACTATTGCTAATAACTAGATGCTTGTGATGATGTTCTTTTCTTTCCTTTGTCAGTGATTGGAGGTAGTAGGAAAATAATTCCTATATGACTTTATATTTATAACATGTTTATAGTGTGAATTGTACTTTTTTTCCCATTAATTTCTTTTATCCTTCTTTCCACCCATACTTTCACGTAACCTGTGAATCTGATAGATTTACTTTGAGTGGTGTTGGTTTTATTAGCGACAGGCTGGTGGAAATGATGGCCCATTGTAATTGTATATGCATTAATAAGAAATGGTGCATTTCAATTCTGATTTTATAATTTTTCTTTGTTATTAAGAGGTCTACTAAGTTAGCCTAACGCTTGAAATCTCCACAAATGTTATCTGAGTCAATGAATTGCTGAAATATTTTGAGATTCATTAATATAGTGTTTGTAGCAGATGTTTGTATTGATGATTGAAAATAAATTATTTTTGCTTTATATACAAAATAATGAGAGATGATTGTATGCAATCAGTGAGATAACCATAAATTACTGAAATAAAGCCAAAATAATTTGAGTCTCTTATTTCATATGGCTGAATGATTGTACAGATTAAGTGATTTTTCTTTTTCTGATAATATCTTACAATGTGGAGGATAATTGCCAGAGAATCTAAAAATTTTCTGCCAACATTTGTTTGTATTTCAATATCTGAGCATCCAGTTCTAATGAATTCAACATTTTAAAGGAGATAAAGATATGTTTTCAGTAAACAGTCAAGGAATTTTTCCCCTGAAGGGAAATGTAAATATGTATGTGCAACCTCCTAGCCACTGTTTCCACATCTTTTACCCCTGTCATAAGTTACAGTCACTGCATTGATTGATATTGTTAGAAATCTTCTGGTTTTTCTATCTTTCCCATAAAAATGTATTTTTCTAAGAACTCATCCTTTTCACCTTTTTATGGGAATGGGAATAAATATAAATCTCATTTAATCACTTGGCCAAGAAAACTATCTTCTGTATTTGTTGGTAGAAACTGATGAGTTCATCCAAGCTTGGCTCTGTTTTCTGAAACATTTCAGTTGGTATTCCATCAATTCCTGGGGCCTTATGTTTTGCCAATGCTTTCAGTGCAGCTTGACGTTCTTTCTTTCTTTCCATTGGTTTTTAGTTCTTGATTTTTTTTTATTATTAAATTTTTTTAGTTTTAATGAACATTTACAGGGATTTTGGGTTTTCATTCCTTCATTGCTGCACAGTTCTCTCTACCCTCCTCCCCAGTTTGTTCTTCCCCCGCCCTCCGAATGTCTGTTTTAATTGTCCAATTGCCACAGTGCTTGTCAAAGCCAGTTCTGATTAATCTCCTTTGTCAGTGTGTCCTTTGCCATTCCCTATCACTCCTCCCTGGGAGAGACTTTACCCTGATTCATAAGGAAAAGGGGATGGTGTATTCTCTTAGCTACTTCCTGCTGAAAAGGGACGCTGTGGGTTTCAGGGTGAAGGTCTTCTCTCACTACTCTAAAGGGCCCCTTTGGCAGTAGGAAACACATAGACTATTATGGAGATTGATTTTGGAATTTAGATGCACAGTTATTAATTGTGCTTAGCCGTACATGTTCATATCCTTGAAGATGTATCATGGGGGTGTTGCAACCTAGAAGACACAAATTTAACTAATAAGTTAAAAGTACATGAGTCAAAAATTATGGAAAAGTAAAAGAAAAGATTCTCTCATTGCTTTACAAACCTTCTCCCAGGTACCCTCCACCATGTAGCCATCGCTCTAGACTCCTGTCATGACAGAAATACCTAGTCACATATCTCTTTTAAACAGTTTTCTCCCTCCTCTGTTTCAGTGCAGTATACATTATTGAACCCATCTTACTCAGTCTTTCCCCAACCCCGAGGTTAGTCCCATTCTACAACAGTGGCATCATGCAATATTTGTCTTTTTATGACTGGGATATTTCACTCAGCATAATGTTCTCCAGAGACAAACATTTTGAATAATATTGCATGAGTTCCTTGTTTTTCAATGCAGCATAGTATTCCATTGTGCAAATATACCACAGCTTCTCTAGCCATTCATTCGTTTGTTGATGGGCACTTAGGTTGTTTCCAACTCCTTGCTATTGTGAACAAAGCTGCAATAAACATGAGTGTGCATATATCTGCTTGGATGTCAGCTATGGTCTCTTCAGGATATATTCCCAGTAGTGGAATTGCTGGGTCAAATGGTATCTTTATTTGCAACTTTTTGAGAAAGCACTATACTGCTGTCCACAGGGGTTGCACCATTTTACACTCCCACCAACAGTGAATCAGGGTTCCAGTTTCTCCACAACCTCGCCAGCATTTGTTGCTTGCTGTTCTGTTAAATTTTGCTATTTTGACTGGGGTGAGATGATATCTCATAATTGTTTTAATTTGCATCTCTCTTAGGGCTAGGGATTTTGAGCATTTCTTCATGTGCTTGTTAGCCATCTGAATGTCGTCTTCGGTGAAGTGCCTGTTCATCTCCTCTATCTTAGTAAATAATTTTTTGGTTCTTCCTGAAATGGTTCTGTGCCAGCCAGTTTTTATAGTGACTCTGTGTATTCCTTCCATCTCCTGTTAGTGCTTCCTGCATCATTCAAGATTTTTGTTCATAGCATCTTTTAGTATTTCAACTTGAGGATTGAATTTGCTTTTCATTTCTTTTATCTTAAGAAATGCTAAATAAGACACTCTAAAAATTTTTAACCCTAGCACTTTGCATATTTCTCTTTAATACTTTGCTTTCCTTTCTTGAGTCTTCCTTTGAAATATTTTGTTCATCTTTTGTGTTGGTTTGTCTTCTCTTTGATTTGGCTTCCTTATATTCTAATGCAATTTTCAGAGTCTCATAGGTAACTTTTCAGTTTTTGTTCTAGTGCAATGGGTTGCATTTGGCGACCAGCTGAATTGTTGCTGTTTTCAAGATACCATTAAAAGAATATCCTAACAATCCACTTTGATAAAAATTCCAGCTAAGAAAAGTCTATAATACACAGTTATATTCTGTAATTCAGGGAGTTGCCAGGATTTGTGGCCTGACTTGTTAGCAGCTGACACTAAGATAGGAAAGCTGAGCAGATTATTAAACAGGGTAGTTCGGGAAGACAAAGCAAAGTGCTATAAGGGAATGTGCAAAGAACTGGAGTCAGAAAATCAAAAGAGATGCTGCTCTGGATATACTTACTGAGCTAGCTAGGCAATCTTGAGGACAGCTACCTGGCCAACTGACTGGATCTATATTTATT